GTGGGAGCCGGACATCGACCCAAATTAGTAGACCATAGAAAGGACTTACACTCCGTTTCCCTCCGCTCCAGCCCAATAAAACTCAATTTACATTAACGTTAATGTTAAAGTTGTCTAAATTATTTTTAAGCATCGGATAATCTGTTTCTATATATGCGTATACCTGTTAGGACTTGTGTACTAAATATAGTTATGATCTTATGACTTGTAAACTAATGACCAATTTGGTTACATTAAGTTGGATATGAAACTAAAATGGCCAACATTGCATATCGACATTTAACATTGGCACAGAAATGCACATAACGATATAATGATCAAAATTTGAGGTGAAATGAGATGAGCATGCACCATGGGCACGAAAATTTTGAATTCAAATTTACCCAAGATAACTACAAAGGTCAAATTTTATCAAAACTCAGCCTAAATCCAGTTCTGAGGCATCGAATCACATTTGCACGTGTATTTATAATAATTAAAATGCAAAATGCAAAATGCAAAAGCATGCAGCTTGCGCCAATCAGCATCGGATCTTACATATGACTACAGTCGACTTAAAAATCTAGGCCAAGTCCACTTAGAAGTGCTAATCAGACTGCATTTTTACATCTCTAGCCCAAGTAAATCCAAATATTCATCCATTTTACTTGGCAAAAGGTCCATGCAATGTCGGAGATTTTCAAATTACATATGTTGAAACTTGTTTCTCGCGTAATTTGAACAAATGAACAATCTAGATAATTTTTATGTTATCAGGCAAATGATCCATTAAAATATGCAAGGGTAAACGTAATTATGTTTGCTGTCACGACAAGAAGATTTTGATAGAGAATGCTAGATGAAGGGAGTTCTAGAATGCTAAATGAAGAGAATTCTATAAAAAAAAAAAAGTACTAAATATCAGTTTGTTGAAATGAAACGAAAATTATTGTTCAGGCATTATTATAGCTATCAATGGTTGTTAGATATTCTTGATGGCATTAATGGCACAATCTTACATTACCTGGTGTTTCAGTTTCAACTAAATACACAAGGTGACTAGAAATGCTATTGAACAATTCTCGTTCATAGTTTATTGAAGCTATGTCATAGTAACAGACAAAAACATTATTCTATAAACAGACAAATACATTATTCTATAAATATAACGGACTAGATGCTCCATTACATAATTCGTTATTTATATCAGATAAAAGATATTGGAATTAATCACGTGTTGACTATAGACCTGCACTTGTTCATAATTGCATAAAAGATTGTAATAAGCTAACTTTATTTTAAACTTTACAATTAAAAGTTACAATAATCAGTTATACAATAATAGATTAAAAATTTTACATAGGCACGTATGTGCATATTACTTTTTTCGGTTGTGAAACCCGATTGTTTAAATTTTTTTTTTTTTTAACCAATCAAAATTTAAAGAAAATGCTGATAACCCATATTAATTCTAGTACGAAATTATTTCACAACTGATAATTTCTGAAATTAGCTTCGGCCGAACTCAGAATTTACCGATTTCAATTTTATCAGTTATTCCGGAATTTATGAAAATTGTAAATAATTCGAAATTAATTTCTAAAAACAATGATCGGAGCTCAATTAATTGTCTAACATATATTTTCTTTGTATATAGGATATAATAAAGATAATTGTCTATACAAATATTTTCTTTGTATATAGGATATAATAAAGATATTGCATTCAAATTGTTCTATACAAAACAAACAAAAAAATAAAATCAATGAATCTGAATATCTTATAGGCTAAAAAGAAAATTGTTTAAAATCTTTTGTAAGTATTTGTTTGGAACATCGCGGAATATTGTATCCGGAAAAAAAATAAATACAAAAAAAGTATTCAAGAACGCGATTTTTTATGGAATATGCAATGCCTCCTGAATATTTATTCGTGATGTACAATATTAAAAATTAATTAATCATGACAAATTTATTTCTTCATTTAGTTTGTTATAAACCTTTCATAAAGCTAAATGGAAATTTTAATTGGCATCTATTGTATGCGATTAATACGTGACATACATTATTTAATGCTTTACGCGGAATATCTCTTTATTAAAGTTTATAAACTTGTTAACTTTTTTCAGTGAGCCTTTGTATACGCGTTTTTTAAATTAATTCGACTAGGACTCTAAATATTCATTACTGTTTCATGTTTAATAACGCGAAGAATGAAATATCAGATATGGCAATATACATAGAAAATAACCCAACAAAAATAGGTCAATTCTGTGCTCTTACGTCTGACTACATCATTTCATGATAAATAGACAAGTATTAAACATTGTTATATTTGACACTATTACTTACAAAAAATATATAGCTGACAATAAAAAAGGCCTTAATATAAAAAACATGTACTGTTAGATCTCCCTAAATGCATCTGATAGGATCAAACTCCGTTTCATTTAGAGAACAATATTTATAGAGGGCATGTATATATTTGGGACAGAATTTAAGAGTGAATTTAGAGAGGTTGCACATTTTAAAGAGGGTGCATTTAAGGAGGTTTGTTGCACTGTGTTATCACCAAAAAAATTGAATTTCTTTAGTTTATTCGACTAAATAGGATCATCGATTTTTTTTTTTATAAATAGGTTCATTCCTCTCTAAAATATTCTTTAGTTTAGTCGACTAAATACGATCATCGATTTTTTATAAATTGGGTTCATTCCTCTCTAAAATATTCTTTAGTTTATTTGACTAAATACGATCATCGATTTTTTATAAATTGGATTCATTCCTCTCTAAAATATTTTCCAGCCATTATCAGATTTTGATCACCAAAAACCTCTTATCAAAAACTACCTGGCTTTTACTTTATTTACATAATGTCTGAAGCACGATTCAGAATGCCGAATATTAGAGAAATCGAACAGCTTAATCTTGATGAATTTGCAACTATTTCGAAAGGTAGCAAATATTTGAACGCTTTTTTTATATACAGAAAAGAATATACGAAACGGTCCATAGCAAGTGGAATAAAAATGAGAATGACAGAAGTCTCAAAATTGGCTTCTCAAGCATGGAAGAACGAAAACCCAAAGATTAAAAAAGCGTACACAGACGTTTCAAAAAGAATCGAGAAAAAAAGACAAAGAGAGAGAACTTATCAGATTATCTTTGATGTAAACGTGGGAAGAATCCAAGCCGCTATGCCAGAGAATCCAAATTCCCCCATATCCAGTCAATTTGATTATCCTCCGAATTCGAATACTCCTCAGAATGAAGAATCCTTGTTAAATGCAAATATCTTCTTCGAATCTTTAACTGAAGATCAATATTATCAATATTATTTTAAATTTCCGTGGTGGTTGCAATAATATATATAAGCGTATGAGTATAACTTTATTGAAATCTATGAAATTAAGTCAAAATTTTGATTTCCATTGTTAAATATAAGACATATAAATCTATATATGATGTTTATATTCATCAATTCCGTATAAGTATAACGTAGGAATAATTATGTATTTATAAGATTTATTCGTAAATATAGAAATACTCACCTGTAGTTCTAAATTTCTTTTTCATTAAAAATTTCATTTTTAACCGATTCGTTTTTCCATATTAATATTAAGATGTGGGTGATCTGTGTACATGCGCATACCATATTGTGTCAACTTTTTTTATGTACAGTAATTCGGATGCCAAATCCGAGATAAGTGGACATCTAAAATTGAAAGAACTCATAAATAATTAATACTTTACTTAATTAACTTAGAGTTAAGGGTAGATTAAACCATTATAAAGGTAGGTATGCCTACATAGTAAATTGTCTTCCACATTTTCATTAATGTGGTTCAGACCGCCACTCCTATTTTTACTTGTAAATTTGATACGTATGTGATCACATTATGTGTAACATCTATCTATGGTCATGACTAGAAAAGCGCATTGTGCCATGCGTGCTTGCAATCATGCATTTGCATGGTGCGCATGCTTAAACCGATATTACCCTATTGCATATGACTTTTTAGTAACTTTGTACCTGCAAGATTTCCATTAAAATCGTATTGTATAAACACATGCGAATGTACTAAGCTTAAAGAAAGTATATACATGTTGTGCCCCAAATCTAAATTTGTCCCAATTTACGGTCCAGATATCAATTTACTAAAATTTAGCTAAACGCTCTGCCTAAATTATTTTGTTTAGTTGGTGGTGGAATTCTAAAAAGGAAATTTCAACAGTAAAATGATCAGCAATTATTGTTGAAATTCCCTTTTATGAATTCTGTCATCAACTATAGATAAAACCATAATCACATATTAATATTACACAAATGTCAATAAGCCGGTAATGAGCAATAATAATAATCAAGTTGGTTAAATAGTATGATGTTAGTTAAAGTGTAGGGTTATTAAAAATGATAATTTGGGTATTCTTCTATTCGTTATTGCTCGCTTTAGTGAGGCTGGCTTTATCGACCCTATAGTTGGTGGTAGAATTCAAAAAAGGAAATATCAATGGAAATTATCAATAATAATTATTGAAATTTCTTTATTTGAATTTTTTGAATTCTATCAACAACCATAATCGGCCCTTCCTACCCACCCGTCTTTTTTTTCGTTAAGTGGCTCGGCGGCTTATAATAGTGTAATGACCTGAAATATTATGATGTCGATTCTCTGAAAATCGCCACGAAACTGTGAAGTTTCTTTCCTGTAAGGTTGTTTTATAATGTCAAATATCAATACTAAAATGACTTATATCAATTCAGAATTAGCATAAATTACAAAGCGACGTATAAATCTACATTAATTATTATCTGCACTGATTTACAGTTTCTTATTCAAATCGACTTAACCAATAAGTGTACCAATTATTTTTAATTCGAAAATTTATTTGATTAGTAAATCACTTAACGAGGGAACGCAGAACCGGATTTACAAATCATGTGACAATAATAAATACGTTTTATTTGTTGTTATTTTCGTTAATAATAACACGTGAAATTAGGCCGACATTAGGGTTAGGGTTAGAGCTGAGAGAAGCATGCTATATAGTAAAATTTAGCAAGGAATTTTTTTAATTAGAGCATAAAAGCCAATTTCATAAGCAAAATTTTGCGCTACCGGTGATTTTTCGAAAAAGCCTTCGATTTCACGTTACACAAATGTTACACCTGATCTTGCGATCTACATAGAAATTTTACTTTTTTTGGGTTTGTATCACTTGCAGAAATAAGTATACGCACAAAGAAGCAAATCTTACGTTTTTGATACACCTGCACTTACTTTTTTGATACTGATCGACATGCAGATCCCGGTAAAAATAAAAAATTTAAAAACTTTGAGCAAAGATATCTCATCAACTACCTGCTTGAATCTGATAAAGCCTTTTTAATTTGAATTCTATGGATTCATAGAATTCAAA